AGGTTCTGGGTTGAATTTGAGTTGTTAGAATATCATACACAGGTTCTGGGTTGAATTTGAGTTGTTAGAATATCTCGCACGGGTCCTGGGTTGAATTTGAGTTGGTAGAATATCACACACGGGTCCTGTCCTGGCTAATAACAAGTTAGTTTTATTATTGTTTGTCAAATATTATAGAAATGTTTCATTTATTTTATTATAACCTAACAGTATTCCAGATTTTTGTGGCCTAATTATTAACACGTTTCTTTCAGCTTGGGAAGCAACAACAGTATGAACGGGGACAATATTTAAGAAAATATTACAAAGATTTCCTGACAGATAATCCAAGAGAGGTGGGTGTTAAGATTTTGAGTAACGGAAAGCTTTTATAACTTTCCTGATTTAAATTTGGGTATATTATGTACGTAAGTAACTATAACACGGAATGTTCCTGATTTAGATTTGGGTATATTATGTACGTAAGTAACTATAACACGGAATGTTCCTGATTTAGATTTGGGTATATTATGTACATAAGTAACTATAACACGGAATGTTCCTGATTTAGATTTGGGTATATTATGTACGCAAGTAACTATAACACGGAATGTTCCCGATTTAGATTTGGGTATATTATGTACGTAAGTAACTATAACACGGAATGTTCCCGATTTAGATTTGGGTATATTATGTACGTAAGTAACTATAACACGGAATGTTCCCGATTTAGATTTGGGTATATTATGTACGTAAGTAACTATAACACGGAATGTTCCTGATTTAGATTTGGGTATATTATGTACGTAAGTAACTATAACACAGAATGTTCCTGATTTAGGTTTGGGTATATTATGTACGTAAGTAACTATAACACAAAATGTTCCTTCCAGAGTTTGTATTTAGTCCTTCCTGGAGAATATTAATCAGTGACTTTCAATCTATAGTATTGGTAAGAGAAAAGATGAATGTGAATAAAAAACTAACTCAAGTGTTAAGGTTAGCAACTGGTTTGTTGTAAAATAGTTATGTTTCAAGCGTTAACATGACATGTTTTTGATATGATGACGATAAATTCTTGTCTTAAAATATTACCTTACAATATCACTGTTTACTTTCATGACACCCTTAGTGTTTTGAGTGTATGAAGTGTACGTCTTTGATTTTTTGACATAATAGGTAAAACAATCGAAAACATTCACATAGAATTCTCTCACACACTAGCTTTGCACTGTCTGTCTTGCATCAGGACCTGTATCTTAGTTGTATTAACCTAACGATGGTTTTAAAATCGCATCAGGACCTGTATCTTAGTTGTATTAACCTAACGATGGTTTTAAAATCTCTTGAAGCATCACAAAAAGCAATGTTTTTAAATTTCAAAATATTTTGTGGTGTCCAACTTAACTTGATCATTTTGAAACTGACTGCTCTTCCTTTCAAATGAGATACTGAAATGATAGTGTAAAGATATTTTTTGGGGTCATATATATATGGCTGATATAACTAGAAGTTGTGAGAGGTATATACTAGGCATGTATCTTGTTATGTTGTGCACGCGTGAAACTCTTCCTTGTAAACGGCATTGTTTTATTCATACAAGCCTACTGTAACATCTCACTTCAATTATCATATTGACAAAAGTCTTTTACGAATGTTTATTGTAAGCCTAACATTATTTTATCTGTTACTCTCCATTTTCGTTACATCTTTATTAAGTTCATCTTTCTGGTTCATTGTTTCTCTATTGATCATTCTTGTTTAATGTTTCTCTCTCTCTCTGTGTTGATCATTCTAGTTTGTCTCTGTGTTGATCATTCTAGTTTGTCTCTGTGTTGATCATTCTAGTTTGTCTCTCTCTGTGTTGATCATTCTAGTTTGTCTCTGTGTGTTGATCATTCTAGTCTGTCTCTCTCTGTGTTGATCATTCTAGTTTGTCTCTGTGTTGATCATTCTAGTTTGTCTCTGTGTGTTGATCATTCTAGTCTGTCTCTCTCTGTGTTGATCATTCTA